AAATACAATAGAGTGTCTATTAAGAGGTGCTTAATCCTCTGGTAAGGGAAGGAAATAAGTTTAAAAAAAAAAGACAAAGCAATCTTGGGATAGGAGCGATAGTGGAATTTGAAGTTGTATTAAAACCCAAGATGAGGGCAGTGGAGGGGAAAAGATGTGCTAGAGAAGGACAGAGCAATGAAGAGTTGAAGAAAGAGTAAGGAAATACATGGTGTTCCTAGCGTCAGGAAGAGGGTCTGAAGCCAGGTGCATGAGTGTAGGTCCTAAAGGGTGGATTTAAATGGAGGTGTCATATTCGAGCCAGTCACAGGCAAGGAATGTCCTAAAGTTCTGATTGTGATTATCCAGCCAGAAAAAGTCAGAGGGACAAGCAAGAACAGGGCCATAGAAAGGACGAGAATTAATCATCATCATCATCATCATCATCATAATTATTATTATATGCTTACCAAAAGAATGTCTTATTCTTCCTGGTAATAAGCTTTCACTCATTCAATAAGGTAAAATAATGAAAACTGTTCACCTAATCGAATGAGTGAAAGATGCAATGAAACACATGGCTCGCTGATCATTTTAGGAAAGAGGAACCAGTCAGAATTTCCAGTTTCATGATTCAAAGATCAATTTGGGTGAAGCATCTCTCCAAAAGATTTAACCCTGACATACTCTTTATCTTTATTCTTTTATGCAAGAGAATAATGAGAGGAGGGAGATATTATAATAATTAAAAAATTTTTCTCTACTGCCACAGTTAGCACCAGACACAAGGAGAACCTTTATTCAATGGGTGCTTTACCCTGAGAAGAAGTTTGGAAGATTGAATTGCATGGACAGTTGGTAACAATATACAACATTTATTTAAAAAAAAAACTTGATGGGATTAAAAAATACTTGAGATAAATTATTTCTCCAGCCTCATTCTTCTAAACAAGTGAAGGGCAGATTGGAACAAGTCAAAAAATATTGAGTTTAATAAGATCTTCATAGAAACAAAACTATCAAACCGTGGAATTATATATCCCAAAGTACTGAAAATATTAAAGTCACATAAAATTAGAATGGAGATGGGAGCTCAGCTAAAAATGAAGAAAGATTCTTAGGGAGAGATGCAAAGACAGGTATTACTGTATTGATTGTAAAATCCAAGAAGTCTAGCTTTAAGGTCCAGCTTAAGATAATCAATCTGAGCAGACCTTCTCTTGTCGAATTTTTTACCAATATAAAGAAAGTGGGAAGGTGTATCTTCTTTGCTTTATTTGAATAGTATTTTCATTCATTGTTTCAAAAATATATTGAGCATTTAAATGCCAGTCTTTGTGCTCAGAACTGATTTTTGCTTACACGTGAACTCTGCCTGCATGGAGGAGGGAGACCAAATGTAACAGATAAATTATTTTATGACACAAGTAACAGAAATAGAAATATCAATCAATTGTAGCAAGAACAAAACAGGGCCAAAGATTTTGTCCATTGAGAACAATAAAGATTTTACTGAGGAGGAATTAAGGTCAAAATGTTACAAGGTAAGTATGATTTAAACCTGCAAAAGTAAGGAAGAGGGATGTCAGGGAGGGGAATGAAATGGGGAAAGGCATGGCTGTATGAAGGCGTGTGCTATATTTGGAAAATGGAAATGGTTCAATGTGATTTTTTTTTCAAAGTGACTTTCTAATGAACTAAGAAACTAATGAGTGGCAGAGAGAGCGCAAGTGAACATTCAGGAGCAGGTCGTTGATGGAACAAAGGACTTGAGGATGGGACAGGGAGTTAGAGCTCATACAGGGTACAAAGTAAGAGGACATTGCCACTTTCTCTGAGGCAGGTGGGCAGAAAGGACTCAGAGGGACCGTTTGCAGACAGCTGGAAAAATGCAGGTAAGGAATATGAGCGGCTTTCTCCCTAATGTCCCCGATTTCTGCTATAAAATTGAAAGCGAGACCATTTGTGGACAATGCGGGAGCTCTGTGGAAGTTTGAGACAAGTGAGAAAAACTGAGGACAGCTGACCGACCCTGGAGATGTTTGAGATTGGGAAAGTTGTGATGCTAGCCACATCCATTTTTCAGCCTAAAATTCAGCAACAATTACTATGTGCCCTGCTTCAGCTAAAGATCCTTAGATGGGCTGCTGTGGAGAGCAGTTGCTTTTTGAAAGGCAAGATTTTAGCAAAATGAAAGACAATCGAACCATTAACAATGAACAATTTTTCTATATTGACCCCCTTTTTTTGCTTATATTGAGCACAAAAGAATGCTTAAATTGGTGAATTCAGAATGTATTTAGCATAAGCCCAGCAATTCTTTCAGAACTTACATTCAGGGTGAATATTATCATTAATATGTTTTTGCCTAAAAATACAATGGAATTCAGATTTTAGTGATCCCACACTGCAATTCTTAAGCTTTATAATGCTGAGTTTGTCAGGATTTATGAACATGATCACTCTTCTATCTGAAACGACCTTGTTTAGGGACCTTGTCTCTTTTTCCCTCACCCGTGTCCCCAGTGCTCAGAACATTTCCTGAAACTTAAGTGCTCAAGAAATGATTAAAATGACTGTAACCATAGCTGTGTGTTGATGATTTTGGCAAGTACGGATTCATCCCTGAGCTCCAGAACGAAGTTTCAGATGATATGGTAGATCTCACCTCCTCTGAGACGTCCCTAGTGCCTCAGGCTTGTAAATGAAAAAATGAACACCCTGTGTTCCAAAACTCACTCATTATCTTGTGTGTCTCTGTATCAGCACCATCCGCTTTCTAATTTCTTAGAATAGTAGCATCAGAATTTTTTTTGCCTTTCCCTTTTGTACTCTCAGGTTATAGTGGCCAAATCTTACAGATTCAAATACTTACTGATTCTCTTATTTCTTTCTTTATTCCTGCTGCAACATGATGTTACTTATTATCTTTTATTTGGTCTATTAAAATAGGCCCTAGAAAATTTTCCATCCTATGATTTCTAGATTTCTGCATTCATCCTTCATGTGGTCACCAGAGCCATTGTGGCTTAGTGCTGCCAGAACACAAGCTGCTCACCACAGCCGTCTCCCAGTATCCACTGCGGCCTGGTTCCAGGACTCCTTGTGGACACCAAAATCTGGATGCTCAAGTCCCTTTATAAAACGGCACAATATTTGCATATAACCTGTGCACATCTTCTTGTGTACTTTAAATCCTCTCTGGATTACTTACAATACCTAATACAATGTACATGCTTTGTAAATAGTTGTAAATACAGTATAAATGCTATGTAAATAGCTGCTATGTAAATCTGCTGTTCAAGCAAATTCAAAGTTTGCTTTTTGAATCTTTCTGGATTTTTTCCCCTCAAGCGTTTAAAATCTGTGGTTGGTTGAATCCAGGAATGCAGGACCCCTGGGTAGAGACGGCTGACTGTCTGTATCCCGTGCTGTTCTCTCAGGTGTTAGTGTGTTACTTCTTTCCTGAAGCAACTTCCCTTCCATCTGCTCCCTACCTGGCGTTTCCCCCCTGCCTTCCAGAACATCTGACTTCATAGTAAATAAACATCCCACACAGTAGCTTCTTCACCCTCTACGGATGTAATGCACACCTAGCACACCGCCGGAGCGCGCTCCCCTGCCGCCAAATCAAGGAGGAGAAGCTGATTCTCACAAACCCTTCCTTACCTTAAATTCACTCCCTTCCACCACTCCCGTATGATTACTCCCTCGCTGTCAGCATCTCCTCTGCCCTTGAATAAAGCCATCTGCTGTTTTAAAGCTTAAACCATCAGACCATCTTCCCCCTGCCTCCTCTTCATAAGATATTGGCCGAGAGGTCATTTCATGACATTTACTCAAGACTGTATCACCAGGCTCCATACATGCTTCTTTAAGTCTTGACTGTTATCTTGCGCTAATTTAAACATCCATTTGGGCCACATACATCGTATACTAGTCTTTAACTGCTCTACATTTTCATGTGTAGTGACATTCACCTCCAGTTTACTTGAACAACCATTTTCTTGGTCACATTCTTGACTTCATCTTGACCTAGAGCTGTTCTCCACTGGAAATTCTAACTTGAGCCACCTGCACATTGGTCAACACATCGATCTTGTATTAAGCAGCATGCCCATGCTCTTTTCTATGAGACTGTCTCCTTCTCATTCACACTTCTCCTGAAGCAGCTTGACTCATCTTCAGCTCAAACATCACTTTTTCTCAAGACAGTCTTTACAGTCTTTCTGGAATCTTACCTTAAGTTCAGTCATTCTTCTTCTGTTTTTTGCATGGCGATGTTCCTTCAGATTTTACTATAATTATATGTGATTGTTTTAGCACTAGAATACCTATTGGGCTGGAGGCAGGGGCCCTGTGTTTCGTTTCTTCACAGTCTTTAGACCTTCTTTCACGGTCAACTTCTCGCTAATGCTTGATTACCCTTCCCTTTCACTCTCTACTCCTAAATCTTTAACACTAGTGTTACCTTCCTAAATACAAACTTTTGGCTGCTTCTCTGCTTATAAGTTTTAAATTTTCATTTTACCCCTTGCTTTTTTACATTCTATTTTTGCAACTATATTTTCTTTCCCTCTTTTCACTTCCAATAATATTAATAAAAACAAGAATAATAATCAACATACTCTCAGCTCTGATTCCTGCACATGAGTTTCCTTCAACTGGTAGAACATTTTCTCCATTTTGCATCTCTTCTAGCTTTGAAGTTTAGAAAATCTTTTTAAAGGGGCTGAAGTGATTGCGTGCTAATTGCAACAGCCAGCTTGTACCAAGAAATAACTGAAAAATTCCCTTTTGATGTCCTCCAAGACTCTTTACTCCATTATAGCACCTTGCTTTTTCTTCAGGCCTTTAAGCTCAGCTTGGACTTGAGCAGATACCTGGCTTACAGGTGTCAGCAAATCATTCTTGGGCTCCAGACCTACAAGCAGGTCTCTGGTAACAGTGGCCAAGGAAAGACAAAACTGTGGGTGATAAAAAAAAGTTCTTTACACACGAGCTCTCCTCACTCTTCTCCAGTTTCTCAGATATTCAGGTTCTTACTCTGTAAGTCACAGTGAGCTAGTTTGATTCCTCATAGAAATGCCGTGATTCTTATTAGTACATTGAAGGTCTCAGTACAGGGGTTTGTAATAGTCTTCTATTGCTACTATAACAAATTACTGTAAACTTGATAGCTTAACGCAACACAAATGTATTATCTTGTAGATCGGGGGGCCAGAAGTCCAACATGGGTCTCCTACTAAGATGAAGGTGCCAGTAGTGCTGCATTTATTTTGGAGGTTCTAGAAGGAAATGAATTTCCTTCTCTTGTTTCGAGAGGGCGCCAGCATCCCTTGCTATGTGGCCACATTCCTCCATCTTAAGCCCACATGGCCAGGCCAAGTCTTTCTTATGCTGCCATCTCTCTGATTCTCTCCTCCATTTTTAATGATCCTTTTAGTTACTTTGGGCCCCTCCCAGTTAATTCAGGATAACCTCTCTATCTTAAAGTTAGCTGAGTAGCAGTCTGATTTCCCCTTTGCCACATAACCTACTCACAGTTTCGGGAGAGTAGACTGTGGATGTTTGGAAGTAGGGGCAGTATTCTGATTATCCCAGACTTTATTTCTCCCAGAAATCTTCCCTTACTCCCTAGTCCAGATTATTATTCTTCACTTTTGTTCCCAAAGATGCATCTATTTCTAAAATTCAAATATCACTTATTATACTATAGATCAGAGCTTAAATATTTTTATCTCTACTGCTAGGCTATAAAGTGCTTGATGGCAGGGGCTGCGTCTGCATTACCCACTGTTGTTATGCCTATACATATAGGAGTTCCTCTAGGAATAAGCTAAATGAATGAATGAATAAATTGCACAGAAAGCTTAGACCTGAGGTTAGAGGACCAGGTTAAGTCTTGGCTCCACCAACTATAAGCTAATGAGATGGAAACCAGTTATTATCTCAAGTCTCCATTTCTTTATCTACAAATAACACAAAATATTATGTGCACTACCTTTCAAAGTTATCAAATTAGTAATATGAGCTAAAACATGTATGCCATGTTAATTGATAAGCATGCTAATGTGAAATGATGTATTATTAAAACATAAATTGAATCTTTTTACTTCCTTTTTCAAAGGCCTAAGCATAAGGTTTAGTCTAGAAAAAATTTCAAATTTGATAGCATTTTATTAAGAGCCTCCATGACCTGGCCCGAATTGACCTTTTTGAAACTGTTTCAAATCATATCCCATGGTCATCTCTCTTTTTTCTTCCAGTCAATTTGTAGTAAACTCTATGCCTAAGTCATGTCATATTTGATCATTCTCTATAAAATGACATTTTATTACATTTCACTGTAAAATGTCTTTTCCAAGAATACTCATGGCAACTGCCCACTGTATTCTCCAACTGTAACGGCAACATGAGTGGCACGGATAACATTTACATTATTTCAAGTATGACACGAGCTTGGTGTCCATTACCTTTCCTGATCTTCACTATGCTTTTCTGAGTCTTTTTCCCATTAATCAAGGGAGAAAACCGGTGAAAGGAAGTTCCCGATGTCTGTACTGTTCCCTCCTTCCCAGAATAATCTTTCCTCATTTCTCATTTACTGAAATATTAATAATCTTTTAATACCTTCCAATGTAATTTATTTTCTTGGTTACCGTTAATTATACCTTTCCCTGCATTACCACAGTGTATTTGTGTGTGTATTTCTTAGGTGTTTTATTCTCCATTAAAAAAGTATATTTTTGATGCAGTTTGATCCCTGATGGAGATCAAGGTTTTAAAATATATATTTTTAAATGTCAAAATGTCTAGCCCAGTGCTCTATATGTACAAGTCTCCCATTGTAGGTTGAAAAAATCAGATCACTTAGGGGAAAAAAAAAGGTCCATAAGTGGACTAGGTGGCTCTTAACATCTCTTCCAGCTTTATTTTATTTTATAAAATTACATTTGATGGAAGAAAGGTCAGCCTAGACATTCAAGGACTTAGCTGTAGTTTTTCTGAATTTGATACTATGACTTGAAAAGTGTTTTATAGACTTAGTTTACGAAGTATCTACATAACAGAGGCATAAAGCTCAAGCAGTAAGAGTCCGTCAAGGTTGGATGAGTCTGGGCCAGAGTCTCACCTTTCTTAGTGTGTATTTGTGTCATTTACTTACTTATTTCCTTCAAACTATTGTACGTCATTTGTAATCTGCAGTCCCCATCTTAACGTGACAATATATGTGTTAAAAGCAATTTGTAGATTAAAAATCAGTATGCAGTGTGAAGTTTGTAATGGATAACAATATTAATTATTGCAGGGGTACATTGGTGACTCTGGAATGAATGTTTTAAACTCATATCAAATAGAATGACAGTTTCACTCAAGCAACAAGCCATATATTCCCAGAATAGGTTATTATATTCACAAGTTGGCAAAGATGTCCAATTAAATGTTAGAGACTATGAGAGAAATAGCCCTTCACATATGATGTGATATTTCCCCCAAGTGTCACTCATATCCTTAGCTATCTCCTTTTCTCTGATGATACAAAATGAGGTTTAATATAAGATTTGGGGTCAATATTTTAGAACTTTAATTTAGGAAATTTTATCTTGCTCTTTTTTCCAAAGTCTTTGTACCTCTCACATCTCTTAGTAACTTTGGAAAGCATCTTTTCAGAAGGAAACCTGAGAAATACTGAAAACACTTCTTAAGGTCTATTTCATTTCCTATTTAGAGACACAGAGACAACTTAAGTATAACTGGATCTACAACTAAGGTATTTTGAATTTAGGAAAAGCTACATTATTTATTTCAACACTCTAGGGTGGGGTAAATGGATACATTTTTTTTTAAATGCTTTTGGGGAGCATATAAACGTATTGTTAGAAATTCTCTATTTAGACTTTTCTTCATGCTTTGATACCATTCCAGGGTTTACTGAGTTCTTTGAAATGCATGTAACTCCCTTTTACAATATCTCTAGATTATAGCTCATTTTCAACTATGTAGGAATTTTGGGGATTATTATTACATTCAGCTTTGCAATAACCCAATTCATAAATGATCATCATTTTCTATTAAGTATTGGCACTGCTTCAAATGTGGTTAGTTACTTAAACATAAAAATGCTTTCATCATTAAATGTTTTCATTTACAAGGTGACCTTCGAAATCGTTATCATGACTGGATTTTTCTGGACGGCCTTGATTTTGAAATATTCTGCCCAATTAAGAGACCATATGCTTTGAATTTATATTCAGAAAAGGTGATCGACATGCCTCTAGGCATGTGAGCGTTCATTCTCCTGGCACCGTCCTTGTACGTTTTGATGTTTTCCATCTTTATAAATGCTTTATGACCCATGGGAATAGACTTTACATTTGTTTTATCCCTCTTCTCTCTTTAGTTCCAACTTCTCTCTCTCATTTGCTCAGTGTCACCAGTTTTTTGTATCTTTATTTTGCCGAAAAGATCAAATAAACTTCTTTTTATATGAGGAAAGCTTGTTTCTTTTTAAAAATAAAACTATGATGATTTAGGCTTTCTCACAGAATAAAAGCAATCTTTATTCTACAGATATACTCAAGATAACAGTAAAATTAAAAGAAACATTTGGTTAATACGATTTTCCAGATTCTGTGATTAACTTATTAACATTACTCTTTGAATCCTCAAAACAAGTATCATTATTTCTGTTTTAGTCCTATGCTTTTTGGCTTCAAACTTCAAACTCTTAATCATTGGACTCTGCTGCCAAACACTGTTTTTGTGTTTTTCCTCCCAAATTTTATTATTTACCTCCTTACAGTCTACCCTTCAGTCACCTAGAATTAATCTCTGTTCCACTGACAGTCCGTGCACTTTCATTATCCATGTCTGTGGATAGAGTCTTTCCCTTAACCTTGAATGCTTTTCTCACATTTTTCATATATGAACATTCTTGTCAGTTTCAAGGCAAAGTTTAAATCCTCTGTCTTCCATGAAGCGTTCCCTGATAATCAAGATTAAAATAAATGGCCTACCTTTTCAAGTCACAAAAATATATGATACTGAAAACTAACACGTGAGACCCTTGGACTTACTGTTTTAGCTCATCGGCACCCTTGCTAGAATTCTGAGTCCTCGAATCAAGAAGAAAGCACAGAGTAATAGAAAATGCTTGGGTTTGGAAATGAAAGGTACGAGGGTTTTAGGTCAGGCTCCAGCGTGAAGAACTCGCTTACCAAGTGAGTGAGAAGTGAGGGAGATGGAGCGTGGTTAGTTCGTTCCTTCCCTAAATTATGGAATCCTGCCCATGGTTAAGGAGATACTTACCTGAGCACGTATTCATTCCATGTGTATTGACCTGAATGATACCCTTCCTGTTGAAAATGAAACAGCCATTTTACAGCGCATCACGGGCTAGTCAATTCATCTACTCTCACCTTGTGTATTTTGGATGACCTGGAGAGGGAACAAGTAAGGATGAGTAACTGTGACTCATATGGTTGACTATGGTTGAGGATGAGCAATTAGAAGCTTTGGGTTAGAAGGTGGAGGCTTCAGGTCTTGTCAAAGAGGATTGTTCTGTGATTATTGAGTTAGAGAAGCTGGAGGAGGGGAAGAAGGCTGAGGAAACAGTAACAAAGGGAACAAGTTATGAGTATTCAAACATGGCAGGCTACTGATACTGATTTTAAATGGCTGTAATGGACGGCGGTCTTGGCTTTTCGAGGACTGCGCTAAACAACAGTCAGACACTGTTAAGTGTTTTATACATCCTGTCATATTTCTTCCCCCAATATTTTTGGTTGATAAAACATGTCAGAATGGTATTGAAGTTGTTTTTAAGCATGTATAAAAGTGTATCAGCATTGAAAACACCGCAAACATGTATTTCAATTTCATCTTAGTGGACTAGCACTCAGATTACTATCATGATTACAGATTAATGGTCTCAGAAAGCCTGTATGCTTCTGTAAACTTGGATATGAGCTGTCAGAGTTTGTCTTGCCTAAATCAAAAGCCAAGAGGCAATAAAAAAATTCTTGTGCAATCAACTGTCAATTCTTTGCATTCAATATATTCAATCTTCTTCCTTATTAACCC